GCCCCTTAACATAGATCAGCTGCAGATTTTTAACCATAAATTCACATTCTTACAATTAATACTCAAGGCATAATGATTAAACCGCAAAAGTTTCATTTATGACACATGCACAACCAATATTTCGAAATAATAGCAAATGGAGTCTAAAATTCTCAAATTTAATTATAGGCTACCTAACTGACTAATTGAACAGATGCAAAAAGGATTTTGCAGTTTCCTTAAAAATCGGATTTATAAAAATTAAAATACTCGGCAAGTACTGTTGAAGCTAAAAATGATTTTTCCAACAAATATTAATCCCAAACTATGGCCAAATAGAAAATAACGAAATTCCACTTTCTTCTACTGAGATTTTAAAGGTGAAAACATTTTTCATGCTGAAATTTCAAGAAATTACAGATTTGTCCTAAAGATTCATAGATCTACACATGCAACCCCAAAAATCTTGAAAATTCATTTTCTTTTTCCAAAATTCCTGAAAATTCGAAATATTAAATCTTTAAACACAAAATGCTTAGATTCACAGATTATAACATGGATTAGACATGCAAGAACACAAATATCAAGACTAGCACAAAATTTCGGATTTTACACAAAAAGCCCTAATTTTTTTTCGAAAAGTGAAGAAATCTTTTAGGTAGTTTCAAAAATCCTTTTCCATACTATGATACCCTTCGATTGCAGCAAGAAATTCGAGATTTCTTACCTATCAAGGAGTGTTGGCCGAAGAAAGAGAAACCTTCAAAAGAAAAATGGGGTTTTTAGAGAAAGAAAGAAAAGGAGGATGAAGATGATGAAGAACACAAAGATACAATGTTACCTCCTTCAAGAAGTGGCTCCAAGATTGAACCAAGCTAGTTGAATGGAGAATGTAAGAGCTTTGATATCAAGTTGGGAGGAGTTTAAATCTCCCGTAAGAGGGCAAGTGTTTTTGATGGTGTTCTTGGCATATTCAAGGGTGAAGCTTATATAGGGGATTTGCATTTTGATTTCTCTATTTTTTTCTTGATGAATTTTGAGGTGTTGGCCGATGGAGGAGGTGGTGCTTCGGTGGTGATGGTGAAGAGAAGACAAGAAGACATGAGAGTGTCTCTTGAGATGACTTAGCATGCTTGAGTGTAGGATTAGTGTAAATCCTCACTCTTTGCCAAGTGTACAAGCATGCATCTTTTTTTCTAATTTTATTTTCTAATAAAAAAATCACTAATCTCTCTCTCTTACTCACATAAACCGAACACACATATATAAATACATATACCTATAGTCTAGAGTAGGTCATAGCATATGCATATATGTATGCATACATGTACGTATATATGCATGTATTATGCATGTAATTATGATTAAATTATGAAATCACATAATTATATTAATTATACACATAAGTCACATAATTTAATCTAACACATAATTATCAATAATTAATCCACTTAAGCACATAATTATCGAAATAAAGTTGGCACATATTTATTCAATAAATTCCTACCACATATGGCATATAATCAAATCGGCATATAAGGATTAATAGTCTAAGCAAATAAGGCACTTAAGGCACATAATTTAATAAAGTGAATAGATTCCTAATAATTCCTACGTGAGAATTTTTGGGTTATGGAATTTTGGTTAGGGATTAGGGTTTCGAAAATGTGGGGTGTTACAATCTTCCCCCCTTAAAATAATTTTGTCCCCAAAATTGTTACCTGACCCGACTAATTCCGGAAAGTGTTTACGCATTTCCTCTTCGCGTTCCCACGTGGCTTCTTCTAAAGTATGGTTATGCCATAAGACTTTAACTAAGCGAATGTCTCGGTTACGTAGGGTTTTGGTTTTGTATTCGAGGATTTGGGAGGGTTTCTCTTCGTAGGTTAGGTTGGGGGTTAATTCGATAGGTTCGAGTTTTAGAACATGGTCTGGGCTACGGATATATTTACGGAGCATGGATACGTGGAATACGTTGTGGAAATTGGATAGGTTAGGCGGTAGGGCTAGACGATAGGCTCAGGTGCCGATTTTCTCGAGAATCTCAAATGGTCCGATAAAACGAGGTGCTAACTTTCCCCTTTTTCCAAATCGCATTATTCCTTTGAACGGTGCCACTTTAAGGAATACGGAGTCTCCAACTTCGAATTCTAAATCTCTTCTTCGAGAATTGGCGTAACTTTGCTGTCGACTTTGGGCGGTACGCATTCTCTCTCGAATGTTCTGAATTATTTCGACGGTTTGTTGGACTAGCTCTGGGCCGAGGAATTTTCTTTCTCCAATTTCATCCCAATGGAGTGGAGATCGACACTTGCGACCGTAGAGAGCTTCATATGGTGCCATTCCGATAGATGATTGGAAGCTATTGTTGTAGGCGAATTCGATTAGTGGAAGTTGTGATTCCCAATTTCCTCCGAAATCGAGAATAGAAGCGCGGAGTAGATCTTCTAGGGTTGTGATGGTTCGTTCGGATTGACCGTCGGTTTACGGGTGAAAATCGGTACTAAAGTTGAGGCGAGTTCGGAGGGTTCCGTGTAAGCTTTTCCAGAATTTAGACGTGAATCGAGGGTCTCGGTCGGAAATGATAGAGACTGGAACACCGTGGAGTCGGACAATTTCTCGGACGTATAGCTCTGCTAGTTTCTCTAGGCTAAAGGTCATTCGGACGGGAAGAAAATGAGCGGACTTGGTTAATCGGTCGACAATTACCCAAATGGTGTCGGATCCTCTTTGGGTCTTTGGAAACCCTTGAACGAAATCCATTGTGACAGCTTCCCACTTCCATTCTGAAATCAGATTGGACTGCAGTAGACCTCCGGGTCTTTGGTGTTCTGCTTTGACTTGCTGGCAAACTAGACATTCGGCGACGAATTGGGCAGTCTCTCTTTTCATTCCGAGCCACCAGTAGAGTTTCTTCAGATCTTGGTACATCTTGGTTGCTCCGGGATGGCAAGTGTTCACGGTCTGATGGGCTTCGGTTAGGATTAGTCGGCGAATCTTGGGGTCGTTAGGTACATAGACGCGGCTTTGGAATCGGACAATTCCTTCATCAGAGATTCGGAAATTGGGATTGGATTCGAGGTCGTTGCGAACTTTGAGAACTTGAGGATCGGTTTGTTGAGCGGTCTTAATTGCTTCTGTCAGATTTGGCTGAACGACGAGGGCGTTGATTGATTTGCGGCTAAGAGCGTCTGCCACGACATTTGCTTTACCAGGGTGATAGAGTATTTTGCAGTCGTAGTCCTTGACTAGTTCGAGCCATCTTATTTGCCTCATATTTAATTCCTTCTGAGTGAAAAAGTACTTAAGGCTCTTGTGATCGGTGTAGATGGTGCACTTTTCGCCGTAAAGGTAGTGTCGCCAGATTTTGAGTGCGAAGACGACGGCGGCTAGTTCGAGGTCATGGGTCGGGTAGTTCCGTTCGTACTCCTTGAGTTGTGGAGAGGCGTAGGCTATAACTTTTCCATTTTGCATGAGTACGGCTCCTAACCCTAGCTTCGAGGCGTCGCTGTAGACTATGAATTCTCCAGTTCTTTCCGGTAGTGCTAGAATTGGGGCAGAGGTGAGTCGATTCTTGAGTTCGGTGAAGCTAGCGTCGCATTCCGGGGTCCATTGGTATTTGACGTCCTTTCGAGTGAGTCGAGTGAGTGGCGAGGCGAGTTTCGAGAAATCTTGTACGAATTTGCGGTAGTAACCGGCTAGACCGAGGAAACTCCTTATCTCCTTTGCATTCTTCGGAATTGACCAGTTGAAAACTGCTTCTATCTTGCTGGGATCGACGGAGATTCCACTTGCTGAGACGATGTGGCCAAGAAAAGAGACACTTGATAGCCAGAACTCACATTTGCTGAATTTGGCGTACAACTGATGAGATCGAAGAGTTTGGAGGACGGTGCGGAGGTGAGAGGAATGATCTTCTTCGTTCTTGGAGTAAATGAGAATATCGTCGATGAAGACGATTACGAATTGTTCTAGATACGGATGAAAGACTCGGTTCATGAGATCCATGAATGCGGCGGGGGCATTAATTAGACCAAAAGGCATGACGATAAATTCGTAGTGGCCGTATCTTGTCCGGAAGGCGGTCTTCGGAATGTCGGACTCTTTGATCTTGAGTTGGTGATATCCGGATCGAAGATCAATCTTGGAAAAGACAGAAGAACCTTGGAGTTGGTCGAATAGATCATCAATTCGGGGAAGAGGGTACTTATTCTTGATAGTGATTTTGTTGAGCTCTCGGTAATCAATACAAAGACGAAGGGATCTGTCTTTCTTCTTGACAAACAGCACTGGGGCTCCCCATGATGAGTGACTAGGTCGAACGTAACCTTTGTCGAGCAGCTCTTGGATCTGATCTTTCAACTCTTTCAATTCAAGTGGGGCCATGCGATATGGGGCTTTAGAAATTGGCGCGGCTCCGGGAATTAGATCGATTTCGAATTCAATTTCTCGGTCGGGTGGAAGTCCGGGAATATCGTCGGGAAATACGACGGGAAATTCTTGTACTGTTCGGACATCGGACAATTGAGGTTTGACGTCGGGTTCGGGATTCACGACATCTACTAGATAGCCGAAATGTCCTTTATGAATGAGTTTGACGGCTTTTATGGTTGAGATAATGGGAATCGAAGTTTTGGTTTGGCTTTGGAATTTTAGGGTTTGGCCGTTTGGAAGAGGAAAAATAACTGTTTTCGGGGCACAGTCAATTTGGGCTTTATATTCGGTTAACCAATCCATTCCTAGAATAATATTAAAATTGCGGATCGGTAGGACGATGAGGTCGAAATTCATAGGTTGGGAATGAACTCGGATTGAACAGTTGATCACTACTAGATTCGAGATCATTTCTTCGCCAGAGGGAATTAGTATACTATAGTCGTGATTCAAGTGATTAGGTTCGATCTTAAGGCTTCTAATCATATTCTCCGATATAAAAGAGTGAGTAGAACCGGAATCAAGGCGTAGACAGGTTCGTCGAAAATGTATATAGTACCTGCTATCATTGAGGGATCTTGCTCAATCTACTCCTTTGTCATAGCAAACACACGTCCTTGAGCACGGTTCTGAGCGTTCGGACAATCCATTGCTATGTGTCCGGTCTTTCTACATCTGAAGCACGTGTTCGTCCCTTGTACACAAGCTCCAAAGTGTGCTTTCCCGCATTGTGAGCAAATTGGTTTGGGAGGCTGTGGGAGTCCAGATTGATTCGATGGTTGGCCTCGGTTTCCCTTGAATTTGTGGTTGCCGACGTTAGGCTTCTTCCATGGGCATTGACTCGTGCCTTGGGATCGGCGGTTCTGTTGGATCTCCTTTTCGTCTTGGGCTGCCATCAGGGCTTTGTCCACTAGTTGTCTGAAAGTCGAGGCGTCAGACATACGGATATCTCGTCGGATTTCAGGTTGTAGGCCACGGATGAAGTGATTCTTTTTCTCTTCGGGGTCTCGAGCGATGAATGGGGCGTAGAGACAGCCACGTTCGAAGCGACGGATGTACTCGAGCATTGGCAATTCACCTTGACGAAGTTCTAGAAATTCCTTCAGTTTGTGGGCACGTACGTCTTTGGAGAAATATTTTTCGAAGAATTGTAGTTTGAAGTCGGTCCATTGTATAGTGTCGAGGTCGACTCCTTCCTTGACTCCTTCCCACCAGTGACGAGCTTCGTTTCGGAGTAGGAATAGAGCGCAATGCACACGATCACGATCGGTCATTTGCATGTAGTCGTAGATCACTTCTAGGGATTTGACCCATTCTTCGGCTATTGTCGGATCGGTTCCACCATGAAATTCGAAGGGGTTCATTTTTAGGAATCGTTCGTAAATGGCGTGAGGTGCTGCTTGAGAAGGAGGCGGAGGAGGATGGTTTCGTCGGAAGAGTTGATCAATTTGTCTTTGGTGGTTTTGGGCTTGTTCTCGAATAAGGTTCGAGAGGTTATGGATGGTTTGGTTAACGTCGGTTGGTTCATTAGTGGGAGTGCCTTGAGAATTCCGGGTGAGTCGTCTTGCCATAATTTCTATAACCTATTATGCAATTTATAATTAAAGCACATAAATAAATAAAACATATAATACACATAACGTTACCGAATGGACGAGTCATCGTGTCTCGTTAGTCTTCAAGCCCGGCTTTTGGTTCGTACGAGTTTTCTATAAACAATGCTCTGATACCACTCTCTGTAGCACCCCCCTCGGGTCGGGCGATAAATCGAACCGGTTTATCGGAAAACTTTAGATAGCGGAAGCAAAAAGGGATCTCTTTGTAATTTTTAAAACTTTCGAGTAGGACCAAAATCTAATTTCTGAAAATCTCCTTTTTGTGCATATGAAAACTTTTTTTTTTGGAACCTTAAGAATTTCGAAAACTTCTGAGGGTGATTTTAGTCGTTTAAATTTTTCGTTTAGAAATAACTTTGGAAATGGAGATTATTATTCGAGTGCTACATTTATCTAACTATAGGTGTCATTCTTTTTGGTTCGAAAAGAAATCAGAGTTTGAAGGTATTTGGTGAATAAGAAATTCCGGGTGAGAAATGCAATTATCAAAATAAGCGGACCAACTATATTAATACCAAAATAAGGCCCGTACTAGGGTAAGAGTTAAATTTCCTTAACGAGGAAATTTTAGAGTTTAAGGAAAACGGAAATACGGGATTTATAGTTTACATCACCAAAATAAAATAAGCATAGTTTATTGACCCCTCGTACGACCCTCCAAAAAACCTCCGGCCAAGACTCCGATCCACTACTCGGTCCATTCCGTTGAGGGATTCCTACTACTACCTGCAATCAAAGAAGTATCTATATGAGCTATTAAGCCCAGTAAGAAATCCGAATGGATAACGAGGTTTTAAAATATAGTTTTACGTACTTATATTAGTATATAGACATAAGCATCACACCTTACCATTCGTCGGCAAACGAACACACACAACCACGTAATTTCATTTAAGCACGTAAATCACGTAATTCGACTCAATTGCTGAAAATTACCAAATTACCCTTTTCGTGCAAATGCATGAATGAAAACATTTTCTGTTGTTCGGATCCGTGAAAAATTAACTTCTTTACTTGGATGATAAGCATATTATTCTGAGCCCGTTCTTTTGGTGGAATCGAACCACCCCTTTATCTATAGTAACTATGGTTGGAATACCGACCCCACGTATCCCGACTTATCCAATCCAAGCATTCCATTAACCTTTCCTTTCGTAAAAATGAAATCTCTTTTATGCAAGACCATGAGACGAATGAGACTCTAATACAAAAATGACTACTTTACGACATCACAAATATCAATCAACGAGCACACCAACAAAATCCAATTATCCACATAATATACACACGGCAATCACACAAATATACACACGGCAATCACACATAATATACACACGGCAATCCACATAATATACACACGGCAATCACACAAATTATATATAAACACATAAGCATAGCACATAATTATTATAGCATCATATTATATATTTATATATCATAAATTACACACACAACAGCACACACATATACACATACATGCAGCCCCAAAACACATTTTAATTAGCATTAAATTATCAAAACATGCCCTTAAAGCACCAACATTTTTATCTTTTCATTAATGGGATTTCTCCCACTTTTATTCATTAAATTAATTAAAAATTCTTACAGCCCCTTAACATAGATCAGCTGCAGATTTTTAACCATAAATTCACATTCTCACAATTAATACTCAAGGCATAATGATTAAACCACAAAAGTTCTATTTATGACACATGCACAACCAATATTTCGAAATAATAGCAAATGGAGTCTAAAATTCTCAAATTTAATTATAGGCTACCTAACTGACTAAATGAACAGATGCAAAAAGGATTTTGCAGTTCCTTATAAATCGGATTTATAAAAATAAAAATACTCGGCAAGTAATGTTGAAGCTAAAAATGATTTTTCCAACAAATATTAATCCCAAACTATGGCCAAATAGAAAATAACAAAATTCCACTTTCTTCTACTGAGATTTTAAATGTGAAAACATTTTTCATGCTGAAATTTCAAGAAATTGCAGATTAGTCCTAAAGATTCATAGATCTACACATGCAACCCCAAAAATCTTGAAAACTCATTTTCTTTTTCCAAAATTCCCGAAAATTCGAAATATTAAATCTTTAAACACAAAATGCTTAGATTCACAGATTATAACATGGATTAGACATGCAAGAACACAAATATCAAGATTAGCACAAAATTTCGGATTTTACACAAAAAGCCCTAATTTTTTTTCGAAAAGTGAAGAAATCTTTTAGGTAGTTTCAAAAATCCTTTTCCATACTATGATACCCTTCGATTGCAGCAAGAAATTCGAGATTTCTTACCTATCAAGGAGTGTTGGCCGAAGAAAGAGAAACCTTCAAAAGAAAATGGGGTTTTTAGAGAAAGAAAGAAAAGGAGGATGAAGATGATGAAGAATTAGAACACAAAGATACAATGTTACCTCCTTCAAGAAGTGGCTCCAAGATTGAACCAAGCTAGTTGAATGGAGAATGTAAGAGCTTTGATATCAAGTTGGGAGGAGTTTAAATCTCCCGTAAGAGGGCAAGTGTTTTTGATGGTGTTCTTGGCATATTCAAGGGTGAAGCTTATATAGGGGATTTGCATTTTGATTTCTCTATTTTTTTCTTGAAGAATTTTGAGGTGTTGGCCGATGGAGGAGGTGGTGCTTCGGTGGTGATGGTGAAGAGAAGACAAGTGGGGGTATAGGTGGAGAGAGAAGAAGACATGAGAGTGTCTCTTGAGATGACTTAGCATGCTTGAGTGTAGGATTAGTGTAAATCCTCACTCTTTGCCAAGTGTACAAGCGTGCATCTTTTTTTCTAATTTTATTTTCTAATAAAAAAATCACTAATCTCTCTCTCTCTTACTCACATAAACCGAACACACATATATAAATACATATACCTATAGTCTAGAGTAGGTCATAGCATATGCATATATGTATGCATACATGTACGTATATATGCATGTATTATGCATGTAATTATGATTAAATTATGAAATCACATAATTATATTAATTATACACATAAGTCACATAATTTAATCTAACACATAATTATCAATAATTAATCCACTTAAGCACATAATTATCGAAATAAAGTTGGCACATATTTATTCAATAAATTCCTACAACATAAGGCATATAATCAAATCGGCATATAAGGATTAATAGTCTAAGCAAATAAGGTACTTAAGGCACATAAGTTAATAAAGTGAATAGATTCCTAATAATTCCTACGTGAGAATTTTCGGGTTATGGAATTTTTGTTAGGGATTAGGGTTTCGAATATGTGGGGTGTTACAATCTGGGTCTTGATCCATTTTCGTTCTGTGACACCCCCCAGATCGTGATCCAGAGATGTCAGATCGCGATCTGGGTCTTCTCGCCCCCAAAATTGGCTTGAAAATTCGGTTTCGCTTTCAAATGGCTTAGACTCGGCAAAAATACCTAATAAAACCCTGAAAAAAAAAATAAAACAAGAAACGCAATAATATATACAAATAAAGCCGAAACTCGGACGAACGAAGACCAAAACTCGAAGATTTGATAAGCAAAAATCGTGCAAAACGAACACTTATCACACCCTCAAACTTAGATCTTTACTCGTCCCGAGTAAATCAAATTGAAACTACAACAAAAATGAAATAAAAACAACAAACTATACTAGGCCACTAACGTAGGGAATCACGATTGCATTTAGCGTATGCAACAAGCCGTTGAACCCCTGGGTACCCCCAAAGGACAAGTTGTGTCTCGTGAGGGTTTTAGGACAACACACCCACAAAGTTGTCGGATTGGTCAAAGCATTGCAATTAATTCCAAAGATAAAACGAGCTAGATAACTTAAAATCTTAGAATGGCATACGGGTTAAGGTATTCGACTTTCCTACCGGCGCAATTAGTTGTTTCTACACCAAAATGAAAGATAGACTCAAGTATCCGTAATTAAACAATAAACACAATTATCGAGGGTTTTGAGTAGAAATGTGGGTGAAAAGCAAGTTTTGATTCTGAAATTCAAAAACTCGAGTTGGGCATAAGTAGGTCTATTTATTCAATATAAGAAATGATAACAACAATATTTTTGGTGATTTTCATCACAATTTTTTTATTTTTTCATTTTTTTTTTAAACGGGCATAATCGTGACTCGTGCAAGGCTCGACACCACTGTTGTATCTCCCTGACCCATGTATCGAACTTTAGTCCAAGAAACCCCCACAGCTCGAGAGACTTAGGCGACGAGGTGCACCCAATGGGTTAAGCTTGAGTCAGAAAGGTGGGGAAATCAGAGCGTGAATCACAACAATACCACAAATTATTATTTTTCTCTTTTTTCTTCATATATATATATATATATATATATATATATATATATATATATATATATTTAACAGAATAACATAAAAAAACGTAAAGACCATAGATAGAACTTTTAGCCAACAACTGGAAATCGTGAACACATAATTCAATTCTAACTCGCCCCCCAAACCTCATACCATTATACTCCTCAGAAAAGTGCGCTCAAGCTTAATCGGAAAGGATTCGAAAGGCTATCCACACAAGTTGCAAAAATGCAGTCGGAAGGTTCATCTATAATTAGCCAGTTATCCAAAAGTTTAATTTTAAAATCAACTAGCCCATATACTAATTCATTAATTGCTTTGCTTCAATAGAACCCGGAAATGCAACTTACACTCGATCCTGAATGAAATGCATGTGACAAACATAATACAATTACGGAAATCGAAATACATAAACGAAACTAAATTATATGATATGCATGCAAAAGACCAAATCAAAATAAGATAAATAAAATAAAATAAAAACAAATTCTAGCAAAGATACATCGTAAACGAAATATCAATCCAACGACTTATCTCAAAAAAACGAAATTAAAAAAAAAAAAAAAAAAAAAAAAAAAAAAAAAGAGGTTCAACAAACACCACCCTCAAACTCAAACTCTAGCGCTAGCATAGTCCATATGCTCAAAAGCAGAATAAAAAATAAAAGGGATAGAAAACACAACGTCCCTAGATGTCATGGTCTTCATCGATAGCTGAGTCCTCGTCCTCTCAAAGTCCACGCTCGTGCTCCTCCCAGACGGGCCTCACCAGTGTGGTGGCTGCCGCTCGTGCAACTTCTTCTACGGCCGCGCTGGAGGAAGATGCTCCGTCAAAACGAGGCCAGGGTGGGAATGGTCGTGGCTCGACGACGTCGTCTGTCCTGCAGGACAGGAGTGCTGCTGCCATTACCTTGATCATCTTCTTGATCGAGCCCACGTTCTCCTCCATAGCATCCATCCACTGCCATTCCCTTGGAGATAAGTGTCTTTACACTCAAACTCAATATTACTCTTTCCGCATTAATGCGTTTTGAGCTCACATGATAGCATGTTTTGAAGATTTCTATTAAATATTTTGAATAATTAAGCTGCTAATTATTGGGTCTGCAGATTTGCTTCGGTATAATTTATGATTGACTGATATACATAATGCATTAGAATGAATTTGAGATTTTAGATGTCTAATTTATGCGGTGAACAATAATTTTCATAGATGACCTAGTGTCATCATCTATGAAAATTATTGTTCACCGCATAATATGATACATGATATAAGAAGCTGCAATTCGATTTATATTCTTTGGCCGCATGCAATAGTATAATCAGTGGCGGATCTGGCTATGGTCTAGGTTGTGCAGTTGCACACCCTTAATTTTAAACAAATTGTACTGTTATACATAAGTTCATAGAAAAGGCAGTTAGTTGAGGTGGTAAAGATATGCACTTGGCAAAAATCATGGATCCACCACTGAGTATAATGTCTGTAGGTATTATACGAGTCTTTTAAACTCGTCACTTCATAAAATTTTCGAATAAGCTAAGCTCGCATTAATAGCTCAAATATGCTTCTGGTGCGTTTTCTATGAGTTCATATTTATTTACTTTTTAGCTCGAATTTCTTACGCACAAAACTATTTGTTGCATCAATTATTATGAGTTCGCCTTTATTGAAGTGTGCATTATCTATAGAGAGCTTGTCATTTATTATAATTTCTTAAGCTTGCATCTTGTCCGTTGAAATTTAGTTTCATGAAATACATATTTATTTGATTCATTTTATGAGTCGAAGCTCCAATTTTATTATTTTCTTAAACTCAAATATGCTCAAGCTCACATGTATTTGCAGCTCCACTATCTATTGGAGCTCGATATTAATGAGTTCGCTACTTAACAAAACAAAAATCGTTCGCTCATGGTTGTCGACTCCCTCGACGCTTATTTCCGCTTATCTCCGCCCCTGAAACTTTTTGTTTGCCGAGGGTTATCTTGACTCCTAGGGGGCTTACCTCCGCCCACAAAATATTAATTATTAACCAGTATTAAGCCGTCCCATGTGCATAATAATAAACACATGCGATCAAAATAAAGGTTTGAAGTTCTCAATGTTCGGTTCGACGTCATAGCCTCAATGTTCGGTTCGAAATCCTCAATGATCAAAATCAATGGTCGAACGCCCTGGTGGACGCCCCCAATATATATAACATCTGTGGTTGAAAATCCTGGAGGTGTTTGGCCGAGCTCTTAAACCGAGCTAACCCCCCAAACTATATTATTTATGGGGTTGAAAATCCCGGTGGTGATCGGCCGTGCTCTTAAACCGAGCCGACCCCCAAAACATTATTGGTCTTCTACTTTATGGTCTTCAATTACCGGATCCCCTCACTTATTGGACTTTTTGAATGGTCCTTGCTTATTGAATTTCTTGCATGGTCCTAGCTTATTGGACTTCTTGAATAGTCCTAGCTCATTTGACCTATATGGTCTTTACTTATTGGTTCTCTCATAGAGTTCGGTTATTAGATTTTTCTTATGAATTTCGAACCTCTATTTATATTCTCCAGTGAACCACTTTGTTCGGTCCACTATAGAAGATGGGGGAGTAGATGATGAGGGTGAGTTTGGCATACTTGGGCCGGACCCTCAAAACTAGGATTATTGGGCAAAAAACCCAATGAATGACAAGAACCAAGGCAGGCTAGATGTTCGCCGACGAAGAGCTTAACATATAGAGCTCGCTGGCATATAGCTCGCATGGATAAAGTTCACTACTACTTCTCGGCTCGCATAAAAAGAGTAGTATGAAGTCATAGGTGGCGAGCTGAACGAGAGTCGTTAGAAGCAGAAGACTCGGAGATACTCTTCCTAAATAGATAGAGGGAACGTATAAATTAAGATGAACAATCAATGTAATCAATCCGAATAAAGAGATTCTAAATTAGGAAATGTCTAATTAGAAACCCTCTATATAAATGAATGTAAACACCCTATTAGTGTCACGATTTAAATGAATGAAAACACTTTGATACTCTCTTCCAAACTTTCTCTCTCTTTAAATTTATTCTCTTCATCCGTCGGATTCATCTTCTCTGGGGAATGACCGATGTTCTGTGGATTTTCCGACGGTCAAGGAAGTTGGGCTTGGAAGGAGCTTTTGAGGGTGTAGATCCTACACCATCACTTGCAATCTATTCTATATCTATCCATATTACTTGTTTCTAGGAATTCAAATAGAAAAATGCGAGCCCTTAATATATATATATATATATATATATATATATATATATATATATTATGTTTATACAAGACAAGTTTAATATATATCAACTTGTATGTGTGGTTGCATTATTTAAGCAAATTATTTAAGGAAAATTTGCCAGATACATTTTTCCCATCTCTCATCCTAATGAATTGAACATCTGTTCACATTGACTTGTCTTAGTTTATTCCAAATGGTTAATTAGTGGAATCCCATTACCTAATTAATTACCTTTTTATAATTAGTAAGAATATATAATGATTCCAATAATATAATATATATTTATATATATCTATGTGTTTATATATAAAGGGTTTTCCCTTATCATTATATGAATAAACACAAAGCAGAAACGCTTATAGCAGAGGTGTTGAGCCAAAATTAATGGCAACTAATTTGTGGCATATTCGATTAGTATTTGTCCTAATTATAGCTTTTGTATTAGCTACAAATATTGTAGCAGCTAAGAAGAAAGGAGATTATGCATATAAATCTCCACCACCACCGCCACCGCCGCCTCGTTATGTATACCGATCACCTCCACCACATCGTCATATGAACAAATCTCCTCCACCTCTTTATGTTTACAAATCACCACCACCATCACCTCGCTATGTATACAAGTCTCCTCCTCCACCACCACCACCACCTCGTTATGTATACAAGTCCCCTCCACCACCATCTCCATCACATCCTCCGCCTTATGTATACAAGTCTCCTCCACCACGTTCACCATGTACGCCGCCACCTTATAAGTATCCACCTTCACCACTACAATTTCCTCCACCTCCACCTCCTTATGTACACGGTTTTCCTCCACCACCACCACCACCATCACCACCATCTCCACCTCCTCCTTATGTAAATTTGTCTCCTCCACCACCTTCACTTTCCCCACCTCCACCACCTCAGCCGTCTCCACCACCCCCTTCACCTGAACCTTCGCCCCCACCACCACCTTCAAATTCTACTCTACCACCTCCTCCACCTTCACCGTCTCCACCACCTCCACCACCTCCACCATCTCCACCACCTCCACCATCTCCGCCACCTCCGCCACCTTCATCACCTCCACCATCTCCACCACCTCCGCCACCTTCACCACCTCCACCATCTCCACCACCTCCATTTCGATTTTCATCTCCTCCGCCACCCCCACTGCGATTACTTCCATCTCCATCCCCACCATTATTTTCATCTCCGGCGCCGCCCCCATCTTCTAATCAACCAGCTTAAAATACTATCCTGTCATTGCACTACAAGAAAAACTAGTTTCAGTGACCAAATTCTCAGCGACCATAACTAAATGGTCACTGAATATTCACATTTAGTGACCAAAAGTAATTTGGTAGCAAAAATCGGAAGGAGTAAATCCTTTTGCGACCGACGAACATTTGGTAGCTATAAGTCGTCACTAATAATTAGACATCTTGTAGCAACTAAAGTTAAAGTTTGTAGCGACAATTTTTATGGTCACTATAATTTAGTGTCAATAGCGACCAATTTAACATCAATTTTTTTGACAGTTGCTACAAGTCTTTAATTTAATTATTAACAACCATCTAATTGAGTTCCTAGTAACCACTTTAATTTGGTTGCTATGAAACTACTTATGGAAATCTAATCGATTATGTAGTAATTTAATTTTTAAACAAATTAAGAAAAGAAAAAAAGATGGAGGGAGAAAATGCAAACAATGGAAAAACAAAGGCAATTCTCATTCTTTCGTTACACGCATTTCTTTCAAATAATGGAAAGACTGCATCGCGGTCGCGTCACGGCAGGAACGGATAAATTATAATAAACATACGAAAAATATAATTAATATCAAATAAGTTTTAATATTAATATTATAGTAGAATACTATACAAATTATCATTAAAACTCTAATCTTAATTTTAGAACAATTTTTTAAACCTTGAGAAGTATAAATAGAGGGTGAAATTGTAAGCTATAAAAATATTTATTTACTTTAAGAGAAATAAAAAGCAATAAGGACTAGATTGCAAATTTTGGAAACTTAAAAAACTTTTGACTCAGATTTAGGTGTCCATCTAGACCACGACCAGGCCTCCCCGTCTTCCTCTTTTCCGTTTTCCTTTTCCCTTTTTTTTTTTTCCAGATTTTCTTCCAATTATTTTTTCTACCGTTTCGGCCGCTCCAACCCGTTCCAGCCGCGACAGGCCCGTTCTGTGGTTCCATCTCGCCCGTCCCGCCGCTATCCCGGTGTTTCAACGCGTCACAGTGCAAAAATCGGTTTGGTTAGGGATTCCGGAACGGAGGGCACCGTTCCCGTTCCGTTCCGGCGAACCCTGGGACCCACCGTTGGAATAATTGGATTTCAGATGTACACGGGAGTTGGTGATTTCCGGCGGAGGTCGCTGATGGTGGCCGTAATCTGGAGTTCAGCTTTTGGCTCTTCAAATAATTAAATGAACGGAGGTCTTAACGGTGGATTATTGATGATAAAAGGTACCGTTGCAAAGCTCGAGAAGTTAGCTTCCCATTGATGGTGGTGCTCGGCGGTTTTATTCGGCGGTGGTCGCCGAAATTTGGTGTGAAATTCAGCCTGCTCGCCGGAACCCTAAGGGAAATAAAATCTGCTACCGCACCTGTTTCAGAGCCAAAATCGAAGGGTTTGGAGTGTGAATTTGGGAATAATTCCTTCTCAAAACTCGTAGAGGACCTCGAAAACTAAGAGTAAGTGTTTAATTTTTTCAAATTCGAGCACGTGTTATAGCCTTTTAGGGGTCGGAATCAGACGACAGTGAATCTGTCAAGAAACAGGGCAGTTTTGCCTAATCATCTTACGGAGCTGTTTTTGTTATGTTGGAGTAATAATTTAGGCTATGTGTCTTCTGAAGTTTTGTATATTGAGTTGCCAGGTTTGATTTGGTATATTATTTGGTCAATTTGGATAACTCTACAAATTATTATGATTTTTCAAAGAAGCTGTGACAGCAAACAAGTTTGTCCAAAACAATTCTGACAGTTTTGTGTATTCATCTCTTCGGGCTGTTATTGCTGTGTTATCTTAGTAATTTGCGGTTGGTATCTTCATAAAAATTGTAGATAAAGTTGTGAAATTTTATTTGGTATATTATTTTCCCAATTTGGATAAGCGTACGGCCTGCTACAGTTTTTGGAAGAAAATGTGACAACAAGTAACGTTGGCTTCTAGTTTAATGTTCATAATTAGCATCAATCCGAGTCATCAATTATTTGAAATTTGTCTTATGCACATTGAGCAACAAGTTTAAAGTAATGTGATCGAAAGTGAAGCTTTAGAAACTAATGGATTCTTATTTCAGGTATGTCATTCGTTGTTGTGTACCTAAGAAAATTTTGGTCTATGGTGCTGCTTTTGGTGCTAACTCGAGGTGAGAAAACTTTGTTAGTTATTTCTTCAAGTTATTTACTTAATTCGTATGGCACGTCTTATTTTGATCAAGTAATACTATTGGGATTTGGAGAACACAAAACATTACAGGTGGGAACTGAACGAGAAAATTGATTTCAATGGGAAGAAACTTCTACTCAAAAAGGTCGGTATGTATTGAATTTTGTTCTTTGGTACCATATATTTAGGTTCAAGAGTGTTATTTATTTATGTTTATTTTTTTCTTTGTAATATCTTTATTGTTGCTTAATAGGAAAAATATTATTTGCTATGATGTGCATGAATTAACACTCTTACATCAAGGAACAGGTTTTTTGTTTGACGATTTGACATGTATAAATTTGAACAAATCAACACTCTTACATCAGATGGAGCTGATACAGAAAATTATATTAGATTGCCGGGGCCCGGGTGCTGCTCACGATTATACGAGATTTATTTGTCGTGCATCCAGGTATATTCAATGTAAATTATATAAAAATGAACCATAAAGTTTGTCAAAATTAGTTCTCTACTTCTACTGATTGTGGATAAATTTTTTATATCAGGTAACTAGGTTGGTGGTCAATTGATGAAGGGAGTCAGGAAGAGCAGGTTCGGCTATATTGTGCATTGGGATCTAGGCGAGTTTTCTGAAATCAAAGTTCTGTTCCTTTGCATGCAATATTTCGTATTAATTGTTTTGTTATAAACTTCCTCAATTAATATGTGAAGTAGAACAAATGAATTAGAATTTTCGTCCCAACTAATAATTCTCAGACAATGTATCACATTAAACACATGGACCGGATGAGGTAAGTAGCTACTTCTGCAAGAGCCCATATACATTATTGCATTATGAGTGCTACTAAGTGGACAAATAATTGAAATTAATTCTATCATATGATTTCTCATCTTCTAATTGAATAATTATTTTTTTCCTTTTCAGGTAGTGTTTGATGAAGTGAAAGAACGTTATTGTGGAAGTCATATTTGTTGTCGCGTAACAATGTATGAAGTGGAACTTGTTATGAAATAATTATAGCAATATTTTTTTCAGAATGATTGATTTATTATTGTATTGAGTATGATAGACTGAAATTATAATATTCACATTTGATTGATAATATGTAAATTTGCAATCTTTAGTTTTGTTTTGATTTTTTTTATTGGTCTGAATTGCTCAGTAAATTAATGCAATTGTTGAAATTATGTAAAAATTATTGCAACCAATATATGGTCACTATATGCATATATTTTAGCAATCAATTTATACCGTCACTATATGTATATTATGTAGCAACCAAAATATGTGGTTGCCAAATATATATCCTATAGCAACAATAAAATATGGTCACTGTATGTATATATCATTTAGCAACCAAAATTATATGGCCACTATATGTGTTGCTATAGCAACCATGTTAATATTATTGCAACCATAAAATTTACATTAGCGAGTCAAAAACTGGTCGTTAATAATTATATTTTTAGTGACCATTATTAGTTCGCCGCTAAATCTTATCTTTTAGCGTCCAATTAATTTTCTTGTCACTGAGTACTTTTAGTAACTACCCTGTTGTGACCACCGGTGACCAAACTTAATTTGGTCGCTAGAAGTTTTAGCTACCATTTTCTAACTTTTAGCGACCATACAAAATCGTCATTAAAACCAATATTTCTTGTAGTGTTGTAATTAATTTTTTTCCTTTTTTCCCACCAAAAGTATAACATATTGATAATCATGTAGCTAAGTGGCCGGAGGAAGAATATAAATATATCCAGTTTGTTAATTTGTATTTTTTGTTTCAATAAACAGTAAACACAGAAGCACTGGCAAAGAACGGAGGTCGGTGATTTTGTAGAAGGTGGTTGGTTATTTGGGAGTTGCAAATTATAACCAATCTATCGCTCCTTCGATCCCACATCCAGTGATAAATATAATATTGGGTGGTTCTCCTGGTCACACGTGTATTTTTTATTTTTTTAAAACCCTTACACGTTAACCCAAGTGGGAGAATATATAATAAATAATTAAATATACTACGTGTCAGCAAAAGACCTATCCGATATTTATCACCGGGTGTAGGGTGTGGAATGAACCCCATGTATATACCAACAATAGAAACTTTACCAAAAAGATACGTATTTGTTTTTTCATTCTATGTAATGTTTTAACTTGAAATACTGTATTTTTATTGTAATGTAATTTTATTTCGTGTTTTAATTTGAATGAAAGTTGTAATAAATTGAATTTTATTATTTTTAAGGGTCCATTAGATATACACCCCTAGAATGTAAAATATATAGGCATAAGTCCACCCCTAAAAATCTTTCTTTGAGATACACCCCTGGCCCAAAAAAACCCGAAATTACCCCTGAACCCCAAACCCAGCCCATATACGGAATTACACAAATTCAAAATCAATTCCCAAATCAATCGTCCCTCCACTAACAAAACCTACCAAAAAACCACCGGAAAAATCAACCTCTCTCTCTGCAAAAATCGCACCCATCTTCTCGCTACGGAGATTCACCGGAAACGGCAACCCAACCGAGGAAGGCTAGGCATCTTCGTCGATAGCAACCCAAACAACCGCAATTCTAGTCAAATTCCGCTCGTCAAAATCGTATACCACCAACAGTAGTCACCTTCTACCAATGGCGAAGAAGGCACCGGCAAAACGTAAGTTTATGGCTACATTACAACAATATACTTTGTTTTCCCCCTCCGTTGGTACCTAAAACCCCCTTCAAACATTTTTTTCCAGGCCGTAATCGAAAGGAAAAAATGACACATACCGAAAACCTATCAACAGGTACTACCCTACTTCAACCATCTCACTACTTCAAATACACAAATTTGTGATAAAACCGTAGTCATGTATCCAATTTTGGTGTCTGGTTGTTGTTTCCATTAGTAGTAATTCGTAGTCATATTTGCATATATGGTTACATTCATGCATGCCACAAATTTTGTGCTTTTTTGTGTATGGGTGTTGTTTTCATTGGTAGTACTTCGTAGTCATATTGTCATATGTGGTCACATTCATGGATGTTGTTTTGTTTGTGCTGTTTTTGTTTGTGGGTGTTGCTGTCACTGGTAGTAATGCATAGTCATGTTTTCATATATAGTCACATCCATCCTCTGCTTCAGCATTTGTGCTGTTTCTGTGTGTGGGTGTTGTTTTCATATATAGTCACATCCATCCTTTGCTGAAGCAATTGTGCTGTTTTTTGTTGTTGTGAGTATTGTTGTCATGGCTAGTTCTGGATAGTCATATTCATGTGTAGTCACATACATCCTTCATCTTTTGTGTGTGTTTCCTGTGTGTGGGTGTTGTTTTCATGGGTAGTACTACATAGTCATATTTGCATATGTAGTCACATTCATTCTTACTACATCCTGCTTACTACCTCATGTGTGTTTTGTGTGTGAGTGTTGTTTTCAAGATTACTTATTAGCAGTCATGTTCACACCCTAACATATATAAAAACATCTTTATGCAGATACTGAAACAAATGAACAATTAGTCAGACGTAAGAAGGGAAAATGGACACAATACAGAGCCAACATGCGATCAATCGTGACCTTCTTCGAAGATATACACCTACGACCACCTCACTATGCATGTCTTCGCCGTACCCCATTCTACCATCTCGTTCTACCATTCGCGAAACACAAACTCAGCAGAGATGACGTCGCAGGCACACAGAATGGAACTTTCAAAATAATGACGTCATACAACAAAACAGAAAGGGCATTCCATATAGGAGGCAAAAATATTACAATCACACCACAAGATTGCAAGTTAATCTTTGGCATCCAATCTGGCAACACACGGATGACTTTTGACTGGTCAAGGAAGCCGCAACAAGGACTCGCAGCACGAAGATTTGCCGCACACCCATCGCTCCACCAAAAAACTTTGAAACACCAGCTTCTGCAGTGGATAGATAGCGATGACGATGAAGACATTAAAGATGTGGTCAGATTAATAATCCTACACCTTATGTCAACTGTCCTTTTCAACACTTCAGCTGAAATCGTAGCTTGGTGGATGTTGGGTGCTAAATACCAACACGCAAGTGTACGTATCGCAAACAAGTAGTAAAGTAGACTCGTGAGAGTCGGATGTCGATCCCACAGGGAATACGCAAATTATTTAATCCTAAGTACCAAATCTTAACAATTACGATTTTTATCCAGCCTACGCAGGGTTGTCAAATTAATTAACTAAATAAATTAAACTAATTAAGAAAGCAATTAAACACGAGAAAATATCAATATAAAACGGATCTAGGATTTTATCTTCCCCCTATGCGATAATTCTTCACCAAATTAATTCCCCATCATGCAAGTTATGATTCCCGATTATTAACCCAAGACACGAAATTACTCATAACCAGCTGTCGCTGTATTATAAGTCTATTATTCATAAAAGATTCACTATATGTCTATGCAAACCTAGTATAAATAAAGCATTAAATAACAAGTCTCGTAAACGGCTACCTAAGGTATTATCTATATGTCTACGATAATACATGCAATTGACACACTCATCCGGTGAAAACTACTCGAAGGCTCTTCTATCCCTGTTCTAATTATTAAAACGATCTGTCAATCAATTCTAACAATAACCAATAGCAACATAAATTAGCTACGTTCATGCGCTAAATAAGATCAAAATAGAAGAAATAATCATGGAATTTAAACTTGCATAAAAGTAGAAAAAGAGGTTCGAATTACCACATAGGGTTCAAATAAAATCCTAGATTAAAAACTTAGCTACTCGTAATTCTTATGATAAAAAAAATAAAAATAAAAGAAATAAGAAAAACTATTCTTGAGTCTTCGTTGATCTTCGTTCTTCGTGTTTTTTGGTGTAAAATTTTCGTGCTTATGGTGTAGAGACTTGTTGATTTTATAGGCTTTTCTTGATAAGGAAGTAGTGGAAACCTAATAGGAATCAATTTCCGCCACTTTCCTGCATCAGGATTTGTTCGTCAATTTGTGCCATGTCGGAGTTCGAATTTTGGAATGTTGTGTAAATAAGAATTGTATCCCTTGAAATTAGCTTTCCAATGCCGTCAAAATCACCTAATTCGGAGTTCGTATGAGAGAGATATGCTCGAAATCGTGGACACTGTCAAAGCTGTGGCGAGATTCCTTCTTCCAATTTGATTTGTTTCCTTATTTACAACTTTTTCTTTTCTTTTTGATCTTTTTTCCTTCATGGACACCTAATTCTCGTTTTTCACCTATAAAACACAAAATCAATCAATTAAAGCACAAATATAATTAAATCTAAACAAAAGATCCACGTAAAGTAAACGTATTGAGTGTAATATCTACACTCAACAGTGGATGTTCAAGTACTGCGATGATATCGACCAAACAAATGACTTCAACTGGACCAGGGGGATAACGGATTTCTTGGTTAAGCAAATCCACACAGCAAAAAAACATGACAAAGTCCATGGTTGCATACCACTTGTGCTGGTAAGTATGAATAGTCACTTATAGTCACTTATTGTCATGTACAGTCACTTATAGTCACTTGCTGTCATGTACATTCACTTATAGTCACTTGCTGTCATGTACATTCACTTATAGTCACCTGCTGTCATGTACATTCACATATAGTCACTTGTTGTAATGTACATTCACAAATATGACTAATTGTTTATGTTTATTTACGCAGTATTGGATGTGTGAGCATGTAGCAATCGTGCCTCCGCTGGCTCATTTTGCTTTTCCAAGATTTCGGCGGTGGGATATATCCAAGCTTGCATCTACATTGAGCAACAAAGACATGAACGATATCGATCCACAACTCGTCACTGAGAATCCGCTGATCCCAACAGAGCAAGAACAACAAATCTTAGATGGAAACTTGGTCCTGGACGATATCAGCAATGATGCAAACGATGAACAAAACAACGATAACAACAACAGCAATGCTAGTGTTCATTCTGCCACTCCTTCTGATTCTGACGAGAATGTCCCAATCAAAAACTGGTACAAAAAGCAGCAGTCGTCAGATGAACTCAAGATCACAAGCGAGCTGAATGAAACAAAGAGGCTATTGGAGGTAGAAACAAAACAAAGGACAGAACAGGAGGCCCAAGTGTCGCAACTGCAAGCTGTCGTAGAAGAACTTCAGATGGAGATAGTCATGCTAAAAAACGACAAGCAGGTACTTGTTGACGAAAAGGCACATGTCGCTTTTCAACTTGCAAAACTACAGGACGAGGTCGCGCTTAGCAATGCTGATGGGCCGTCTTTCAATATCTTGAGCCAAACACAACCCAACCAAAGTGAGCTGCAAGAGAAAATCAAAGAGAATGCAGAACTGAAGGCAAAGAATGAATCCCTCATCAAACGTCTTGAAGAGCTGACAAATGCTACAACAACTGTACAACCCGAAAAACCTTTGTCGCTGACACAAGAGCTTGAAGCAGAAAATATCTCACTCACAAACATGCCTGAGCACACAGCAGCCCAAATCTTCTTGGAAGCTGAAATCACCCTCCTAAAATCAGCTGAGAAAACTCATCTTGAGAACATTAGAGAAAGGGATGAAAAGATAGCCGAGTTGGAAGCTAATTGTGCAGAATATGCAAAGGCACTTGATGTGCGCCCACCGATTCATTCGGACAGCGACTTTGAGATATGTGAGGAAGATATCGAGGCCAAGCTAAACGACCCGAAATCTGCAGTGGGGAAACGTACTAGGTCAAAAAAGCATGAAGTAACACCACGTAGCACCAAGAAAGCACGTAGAGATTTCAGATACAAAAAATTCAACCGATGAAATAGTGCATGGGAAGTAAGTAAACTCTAACTACAGTCATATATCCAGTCATCTATATGAAATATTATACTACTTCATATAGTCATATATAGTCATATGACTACATGACTATGGTACTAGTTCTCTATGACTATTCATATATGTAGTCAAGAGTAGTCATATAGTCATATGACTACCCATGACTACCCATGACTGCACAATCACATGTCTTATTCATACTTCAAAAATGTTTATAAATGCAGTAGAACAGTGTGGAAGAATCCAGATGGCAATATTCATGTTCGGATGGCCGACATCTTTATCATCCTCAGAAATGAAGATATTTCGGGCGAGGTAAAAACAAATTTAATAACATTGTACAAACCATCCTGCCCACATTATGTACACAAATTTAATAACACTGTACAATCACAGGTTATAGATGCTTACTGCGAGATATTGGGACATCAGCAAGCTGCAGGGTTGTTTGAAGGTAGCGTTTATGAGTCGCTTAAAGGAACAAGCATGACGTTCACCAGCATGCTACTGGTACAAAGTCGATAATATATTTGTAATTGTTTTTTTAGAAAAGAAGTATATGTTTTCCCGTGGCAACTAATCAGTAGTTCAAACAGACATCGTTGAGGCAGTCCAAAAATAAAACATTCCGCATACCAGCAGAAGTTAGCAAACATAGATACCTCATCTTCCCATTACACTCCGACGGTAATCCTCAAATCGGGGCTAACCACTGGACATTGTTAATATTGGACAGAAATTCAAATGAGTGGCATTTCTACAACTCATTACATCCTCGCAAAGGTCTTAAGGACCCATACCTAATTGACGCCACCGACATGGTAAACAACTACTAACTATTTATTTCCAGCCACTACCTATTTAATAAACAAATATCTAATTCATTCATGTACACAGAAAATGTATGTCGAAAACACAGCAAGGAAGTTTAACATCTCCGCCATTCCCATAAACGCACCGCTGCATGAGGTAAATAACTCACCCTAACAAGCAGATGATTCAAGCGATTGTGGTAGTCACATAGTCTTATGACTATCGTTGACTACTTCTTTATGATCTACATATTTTGGTCAGATTACAATATGACTATCTATGACTACGTAGTCACCTATAGTCACAAAGTCGTATGACTATCAATGACTACTTATTAATAATTTATATTTTTAGGTCAGATGACAATATGACTACCTGTGACTACATAGTCACCTATAGTCACATAGTCATATGACTATTTAAGACCCCGTAGTTGTAAATACTCATATGACTAAGTGACTGCAGGTGTTAGAATCCAAACACAGAAAACTGTACTTACATGTATCAGTAATAGCGAAATTCATTACTTAAAAAAACAGATCATGTACTTGGAAACTCAAGAAAAAAATTCACAACCTATGTTCCACACAAATTCAAGGCGGTAGAAAAAAAGAAAAAAAGAAATTGAAACACATTTCTGTTCCACTCAAGTCTCATAGAGGCCTCCTGCACGTTTTCTTGTTGTGATTGCCCATACGGTTGCATGAGCTGCATTTTATCTTCCTCTTAACCTTCTCACCTCTCGAAGGAATTCTCTTCACCTTCGGCCTGCCACACCGAATATGATAATCTGGAGGTCTAACCTAAGGCAAAATCACCATCAAAATCTGACTTGACAAATGGATAAATATTGTGCGAATGCGTGGTTTTATAACACTCAACAGTGTAATAGTAGTCAACATATGCATAACCATCATTATTGTTATGGAACAGAACACACGCAACATGTATACACGACAGACCGTTGACTTGCCACGCTCTACACGTGCACGACCTGTTGCGAATGTCAACAACAGCTGTTGGAGTACTAAGCACCTCGTAAATGTACTCCGATGCCCTCTTTGTTATCAAAACTCTACTGTCATGTACTAGTTTATTAACAGCACCCTGAATGGGAGTGCAAAGTACAGTTGACATAACCGCAGCCTCCTCTGCCCTTACAAACATTTCCACCATCATTATACTCCTAAGACCATCAACCACATCTGTAATAGGCAGACCACGAATGACGCCAATCTTCATATTCCACGATTCTGCAACACTAGATGCCATCTGCCCATATCTATTCCCCTCAAAATGTGCACAAGTCCAGTTGTTATACGGAAGGTCTGCTAGAAAATTTCTAATCCTTGTACCTCCAGTTTCTATAAACTCCTTTATATGCACATCAAACTCAGATTTCGTAGGAGCGTAGGCACAAGCATTAAACAAATGAGCCATCTTCTTTCGAAAACCAGATGGACAACCTCTACATTTACTTGACAAATTTAATTGCATGTGATACAAGCAGTATATATGAAGACAATCAGGGAATATATTTTTGACCCCATCCAAAATACCGTGATTGCGATCCGAGAAAAACGTCACCACACGATCCGTTCCAATGCAAACCCTCAAATGAGTAAGAAAGTAAGCCCAATTGCTATCAGATTCTTCACTAACTATGCCAAATGCAACTGGGTACAATTCTGTGTAAAAAAAGAAACAACAACAGCCTTAGTAATATATAGTCATATATAGTCATATATAGTCATATATAGTCATATATAGTCATATATCACATTAAAAGGTACAAAAACTTACTATTATGACCATCTTGCCCAATTGCAGTTAACAAAATGCCCTTGTGTTTGTTGTGCAGAAATGTTCCATCAAGCATGCACCAAAAGCAAAAAAACAACGTCGAAACTTCATCGTATCTGCATCGATGTCAAGATTATAAACGCTATCCGGATTGGTACGACCAAGTTCTTCGAAGTACGACGGTAAGTGTGAGTATGAACTAGTATCATCACCAAAAACATGTTGCTTCCCTGCCGTGACAGACCTCCAAGCCACATAATAGCTAATGTCAACTCCATAATTCAGCTTCTTAACTATCATACTAGCAATAATGTCAGACGTCATTCTATTCTGCCTTGACGACCCAAAAGAAGATCCACAATTGTGATGCTTCTCAAATTTCTTTATATAAAAATAACCATTGGCCTTCTCAACTGATGCGCATGCGTGTATCCTCCACATACAGTTCTTTACTGACCTGTGTCTGCATTCAGCTGTGACACGTACACGCTCATTCTTAACGTATGTAAACTCAAATCCAGTTTCCACCGCTCATTCTTAACGTATGTAAACTCAAATCCAGTTTCCACCGAATACATGCATAAAGCTTTCCTAAACTCAAATCCAGTTTCCACGAAAAACTTGACCAACATCCTTGATCAAATCAGCCCAGTTAGCACTCATCAACTGAGTTTGACCACACATTCCAGCATTTTGCACTCATCAACTGAGTTTGACCACACATTCCAGCATTTTGCAAGTGATTGATTCCACTACCTTGACCAAATTCGAACGCATGATACCACATCAGGAACAACTCCCTCTCTTTGTTTAACACTCACTTCAACACGATCAAGAGACATCTCGCGCGCTAACGACATCATGTAAAACACATCGTCATCATCACACAACACACCCTCCCCATGACCAACAACCGTATACGTGAGAGACATGGTGTTCTGGTGAAACGAGCCCCATTTGGCCCTTACGTATCCAACTAACTCTTGAAATCCAAAGGAAGTAACACATTTTCTCACACCAAATAATTCTCCAAACCTCATTATTAGTACAATATTTGTAGACATTCTGGCCCTGTAAACAAAAAGTACTGTATATGACTACTGTAACATATATTTAACTATCCTGACATGCAACAGATCTATGATGCTAAACATGACTACTCTTGTGTATACCAATACAAATCAAAAAATATACACAAACAAATTCAAAAAAACAATTATGTATATGACTAAACATGACTACTCTGGTATATATCAAATACAAATATCTGAAAAAATCAAAACGACACAATTCTTTATATGCAACAGGTCTACGATGCTAAACATGACTACTATGGTATATATAATTACAAATCTCTAAAAAAATCAAAAAACAATATAATATCGAAATGCATCAACACAAACACAATTGACCAATAAAAACCCCAAACTGTACAAAAACACAGGAAAACGCAAAATCACAATTGAAAAATCAACGAACACCCAGCCGCGCATCATGATCATAAACAAAAACGAGCCATGAAATCTCTGTAAAAAAAATTTCAAAAACGAACCTTAAGGAAGCGATTGAAATGGAGAAAGTTGAACCTCGATCGCAACTCACGCTAAAACACCCAAAAATCTGAAACCCTACCCAATCGTATAAGGAAGCGATTGAGATGGAGAAAGCGAGAGAGAGAAATCACCGTGAGAAACAAGGCCGAGAGAGAGGGAGAAAAATAAGCTGCTTCCTTCTATACCGTTAGGAAATATCCTTGCCCAGTAAAACAGAAAATAAGGGTAAAATAGTCATATCCTATGTCCTCAGGGGGGTCTACCTAATTAAGTTCAGAATCTGGGTTTTTGCCTTAGAGAGAAAAAAACATTGGGCCTTCTCATATATATTTTGAAAAGTAAGGGGTTATCCCACATTTCCCCTATTTTTAATGGTAAACTGCAATTCAACCAAAATAGGGACGAAGGATTGGAAAAACGAAATTAATATAATTAAATATAATAAAAATAAAGTTCATATATTTGATCTTTTATGTTAAATTATTAGATTTATTATAAGCTTTCAGAAATTTATAAATGTATTGCAGCATGTTCTGAAGAATTATATTGTATGAGAGGAGTTCAGACGTTGGCATTATAGTCTAATACATTATACATATTAGAAACAAGATTGACTTTGTTTACCGAATAATAATTAAGATCAAATGGCAAAGAGATATGACAATGAACTTAAATCCACACTGGTCCACACAAAAAATAGTCTTTCAAATAAACTCATCTTCATGTCTTTAGTCTAAAATACCCTTCATAATATAATTTTTATCAATTCCATCCATTATACTCTAACTTCCTCAATATTACACATTGACCCCGGATTTAAACAAATATATCATATTAATCCCCATTTTAATAATTTTTTGAAAAAATAATTTTTTTAAGAAAATATTTTTTTTCTGAATTATTTTTCCAGCCAGATTCCGACGTTGACTTTTTTTTTTTGAAAACTTTTTCTTTCCTGAATTTTTTTTCTGGCCGGTCAACCGCCGTTGATTGCTGGTCTCCGACGTTGATTTTTTTTTATTTTTTTTGATATTTTATTTTATATTAAAAAAAATATTTTAATTAATATTACTGTCTTGGCTGCTAAATTACTCTCAGACAATAATATTACTGTTTGGGACATTAATATAATGAATATTACTGTCCCAAACAGTAATATTATTCCATGAGACATTAATATTACGGTCGGAGACAATAATATTACGGTCAAAGACAGCAAAATTGCAAGCCAAGACAATAAAATTAATTAATACAGTAGACAGTAATATTACTGTCTCAAACAATTTTTTTTTTTTTTTTTTGCCAGAAGATTTTATTATTCCATTAATCATAAGAGTTTTGGGGCCTCGTTAAAATGTTGAGGGCCTACACAAGGAGAAAGAGTACCCCTACAATGGTAATAAAAAAACAGAACGAGACCCATATAGGTTATTACACAAATGCCCCAAAGAGGAGTAAAAAAACAAAAAAAAAAAAACGATCTGGGATGTTGGATCCCGTCGGGATAGCACAAACTCCACATTGGTATGATATTGTCCAGATTGGGCCGGGCCCAACTGGTTTTGCTCTTGGGTTTCCCCAAAAAGCATCATACCAATGGAGTTGCTATCCTCTTCTTATAAAGGAGTGATCTTTCCCATATTAAACCAATGTGGGACATTGTTGGCACCTCAACAATCCTCCCCTCGAACAAAGGACCACATAAGTCGGACAATAAAGGACCACCGAGCCTGCCCTCATTTTGGACCTGGGGCTCACACCGTCTTTGTTTCAGAGTGCACCGAGCCTCGAACAAAGGAACACCGAGCCTCCTACCTGGAGCTCGTCGAGCCGCTTGCCATTTGGGCACCGGGAGCTCACCATTTTTGTTCGGTACCGAAGACCTCCGGAAATTTCACACAGATTCCGGCAATTTCCACCACATGGTTAAGATTGGGCCATGGCTCTGATACCACTGTTGGGTATCCGCTTAAGAAATTAAATACAGGTAGTGTCATTCGGCAATGATGACTTCGTTTCTCCTAAAAAGGTCTCAATGATCCATTTGGGCCAGGTGGAGATTTGTAGAGTGTGGTCCAAATGAATTCTTTGTGAATGGCCTATTAAAATTCCACTTTGCAACCCACTTACGAGGAACCCACAAAATTTGAGCTCAAAATTAAAGTCAGCCCAATCTCACTAGGTTTTCCCTTTCTCTCTCTCTTCACCTCTTTTTTTTTTCCATCTTGGTGTTTTGTTTTTTTCAGCATATTGATTATTCAAATTTGCCCCTTTTTTCTCTCAACAAATCTTTCTTCTCATCCTCAACAAAATTTGGTGATTTGTTGCCTGATTCTTCGTGAGTTTGGTGGATGATTTTGGCGTATAAGTGCACCCTTTTCCCTTTCTGTGTGGGGGACGAAGAAAAAAGACGACGAGAAAGAGGAGAATACTTTGTGTATTTTGAGAGGAAAAAATACAGTGAAAGAGAGAACCCTTTTTTTTAGAACAAAAGCTCGAATCTTTTCGATGAATTCAAGCTTACTTCTTTAGGGGTAAACCGGTGAGATTAGGGTTTGAATTTGGGTTTCATTTTTCTTTGGTTTTTTCATTGGAATACACTGTGTGTGTGCGTGTGTGTGGCTGCCGTGAGTGTTTGAAGGCCCCACTTGGATCTTAGACGAGGACTTAGAGAACGAGGACTGAGCCGAGAAATCGAACGGCCGCCGGAGCTTCTCCATTGCGTTCTGCCAACGGTTTCATTTTATTTTCCCTTTTAATTGCTGTTAATTCTTTAATTTGCTCTAATGCAGCAGTTCTCAATTCTGGTTATTATTAATTAGAGGTTTTTTGATTTGTTTAATGATTTATATGTCCACGTTAATTTGTTGTTGATTATTGTCTTGATAAATTGCTGGCATTGATTTAATTATTAATTAATTGTGTTGATTTATGGATAATTCTATGACTGCATATTCTTATTTAATTTCTCCTCCGGGCGGATACCCAACATTGGAGCTGTACTCTAAAGTGCAAGCTCGAAAATTGTAAAATTGCTGAAAAAGCTCTAAATGGGGATCAATCTGCTAAGCCATCCAACCCATGCAAATTCTTCATGGACAAATTTTTTTTTTTTTTTGAGTAAATTCAAATCCATCACAAATATAAGCTGCACGTGCCTCATTAGGCAAACTTGATTCGGTAAACAATTCTTGGTAAGATATATGAGTGTAAGCCTAGTTCGCAAGACGATCCGCTACACTATTATTTTCTCTAACAACATGCCGAATGGTATAGAGGCTCGATCTCCTTCATACAAAGACGAGACACATAGGCGAGGTCCCATGCCACGATTTTTTTTCCGAATAGGATTGATAACCAATAGCGAGTCACTTTCTACTATTACCGACGATAAGCCCAGAGACTTACAGAGCTTTAAACCTATCACAACCGCGAAGAATTCTGCAAAATTGTTAGTACAGACCCCAAAAAATGAAGAGAAACCCGCCACAATTGCTCCTGTCGAATCCCGAATAATTTCACCGCTAGAACATACCTCATTCGTGGCAGATCCATCCGTATTTAGCTTGTAATCACCAGGATTTGGCTTCTCCCATTTATGCCATGTACCTCGCTTAACAGCGGGCTGCCCCACACGAATTCCCATGGCCGCAAGCTGATAGTGTTGGGATTCCGTGGATGGTTGTTTGGGAACGTGATTAGTCGTCATGTTGTGAATATGAGAAATCACACGTCGGATAATATCCTCTCGTCTCATTACTCCATCGTCATAAACCGCTTTACACTGAGCCAACCAGATCTCTCTTAACACATTGCAAACGACGACAGCTCTAACCATCATACATAACGAGTGGCATTGAGCTTTAGGGATCCAAAGTTGCTCCGCAATCTCAGACCGAAAAAACAGATGGTTAATGTCTTCCTGGTTAGGCGTAGAACAACACACACATTTGGAAACCAGCGGAATACTGTTAAGTGTATATTTTTACACTTAATCATACCTTTTAATTGGAGCTTTAGGTGTATTTTATTGATAATTGGTGCTTAAAATGTTGATTTATTGTGTTTTAGGTACAAATTGAAGAATTGGATAAATAGGGGGTCAAAACTGCAATTTAGGAGATGGGCGAAAAGTGAAGGAGTCAAAAATCTAAAGAATTACAGCCCAGACGACTGTCCGAGAAATACACAAGGATTTCGGACGGTTGTCCGAATATTTTCATGAGAGAGCAAAGTTTCTGGAATTGAGACGGCCGTCTGGAATTTGAACTGAAAATCCAGACGGCCGTCCGAGAAGACTTAGAGATGTTGTAAAGGAATTCTAATTACACAAGGAAACTACCTTCTTCTCCAAGTTTTTCACCCTATATAAGACCAAGTCAATCACACAATCGGGGATCAATCTTTTGACACAGATTCAAGAGCAAAGAAGCAATAACGAAGGCGAAGAATTCGAAGACTCCAATCATAGATTTATCGTCTATGAATTATATTACTTGAGTTTTTAATTTAATTATGAGTAGCTAATTCGTTTAATTTTAGGATTTTATTTTGAACCCTATGTGGGATATTTTGAACCCTATGTGGGATTTATGAACCCAATTCTATGATTTTATGCAAGTTTTAAATTCCGGATTATTTTTTCTATTTGTTTTATTAAGTGCGTGAAACTGGCCACTTTATGTTCTTTTATGTTATTGTTAATTGCATGAATCGGATGATCGGGTTAATAATTAGAACTGTGGTAGAAGAGCCTTTGTGGTATGAATATAGGTATATAGTTAATCTCTTAGGTAGCCATTATTGAGATTTGTGCTTAATGATGTGTTCTAGAATTAATTGCATAGGAATACAATAATTGAATCTAGAGTATTAGAATCGTAATACACGCGGAAGCGGGTTATGATTAATTTAGCAGCTCAGGTTAATAATACGAGTTAATTACTTGCATAATTGAAGGAATTGGTGGATTAATAATCACATAAGGGGAGAATAAAATCATAGGCTTGCTTTATTTGATTAGACCTTCGTTTTTAATTGCTTCCGTGCTCTTGTCTTCTTAATTTGTTTTAATTTCTTTAGCTTAGTTTAGTTTATTAATCATCTTTCGAATGTGTAGGGTGGGCTTGATAATAATTGCTAGGATTTAGCGTCTAGAATTAAGTAATTAAATATTCTATATGGGATCGATACTTGGACTTAAAAATCCACTTTATTACTTGTACAGATTTGTACACTTGCGTGTATGTATTACAACCAACAAATACCACGAGAAATAAGACGTTGGTCAACAGGTAAAGCGTGATGGATTATTTTCCACATAAAACCACATGTTTTTTGAGCAAGGAAATTATGCCAAATGCACCCTGGCCAAGCTTGACATCTCCCGGCAATCCTACTATATCGAAAATATTCCTTGCATGAAAACTCCTCGTTTTGGGTAAGCGTAAAAATCAGCCGATCCTCAAGAGCATTGTCCAAGGATACATTTGCAATTTATCGTGCATATTAGATGGAACGAGCGGCAACAATTCCGGGAGTTGGTGCATGGCACTAGAAACCGAAAGATTGTGATCACAGGGCAATGGACCAATTAAAGCCTCACCTAACAAATTGTCGGCCCAAAAACTGACATCGCCACGACCCACCAGCCATTGTGAACAACCCTCAATCATCTCTGCATGCTGATTAATCGAAATCCATAAAGGAGAGGCGGATCTTCGCGTGAGGTCAATTGTTTATCCAAGTATTTTGCTTTTGCGTACTTTGCCCAAAGCGAATCACCTTGAAGAGCTTGCCACATAAGTTTACCATGAAGACATCGCATTACCTCTTTAAGAGAGCGGATAACCAAACCCCCTTCTTCAACAAGCGTACAAATTGTCTGCCATTTAACCCAATGAGTTCTCGAATCCCCACTCGAGCTCCACAAGAAAAACGCCATAAGTTGCTCAATCTGATTGATAACTCCAACAGGAACTTTAGAACAAGCCAATGAATAAATGGGAATGCTTGAAACCACTGACTTTAGCAACGTGACTTCTCCCGCAAAGGACAAAAAATTGCCTTTCCATCCCTGAATTTTGCCTCTAATTTGCTGAACAAGGTGTTCGAAGTATTCCGCCTTACTTTGCCCAGTAAAACTGGGGGCCCCAAGATATGTAAGAGGAAAATTCTTTCCCCAAATCTTAGTAGCTTGTTCAATAGAGAGATGTTCCAGCTCAGCCCATTTACCAACATAGAGATGACTTTTAGATACATTAACGAGCTGCCTCGACGATTGCTCATATACATGAAAAATATCCATTAGCCTCTCAATAGAACGACGTTCTCCATTAGTAAAAATTAAGATATCATCGGCATATAAGAGATGGGAAACTGCCAACTCATTCCAACCAACCTTGTACGGGATAATTTCTTTCGTCGTAATCTTTCGGTTAATATTAAACGTCAAAATTTGTTGGCCTATAATGAACCCCACGCAACGATTTACACCTCCCAACCATAACCCCATTAATACGGAACGAGTACCAAATGTTACAAATGTTCCGATAAATCAAATCACACGAAGCGTGAGAAAAGCCAAATGACCGCATCGCTCGAAGAAAAAATCTCCACTCCAATCGATCATATGCTTTGGCCATATCTAACTTGAGAATAACATTCCCCCCTCGTACATTTACAATCAATATCTCTAGTTAGCTCTTGAGCCATGACAATATGCGAAGTGATGCTCCTGCCTTGTACAAATCCAGCTTGTTCGTCTGAAATAAGAAGCGGAAGAATTTTTTCCATCCTCGTGGCTAGGATCTTAGACAAAATCTTCCCAAAAAAGTTGCCACGGCTTATAGGGCGAAATGCACTGATGTGGCGAGGATTGTCAATATTCGGAATTAAGACCAAGGTTGTGAGATTCATCTTCTTCAACATATGACCTCCCCGGAAGAAATAAATTATATAGTTGGCCACATCATGCTTGATAGTCTCGCAGCAAGACACAAGGAAAAAACCCATAAACCCATCTTGGGCCGGGGAACTTGTTGAATTTAGTTCTTTAATGGCTGCAAAAATTTCCTCCATATCCGGAATTCGACATAAATCAGCATTGATAGTGTCATTCACCAACGAAGGAACCCCTTCAAATAACTACTCATCCATGAAATACTCCGACGCTTTAAAAAGAGTACAAAAAAAGTCCTCTGCTAAAACACCAATTTCATGAGGATCTGTGGTAATGATGCCGTCATCTCGAGATATTTGAATCACCGATCGCTTACGCCGATCTTAAATGCTTGCATGGAATAGGGGTGTGTTGCGGTCCCCATCTTTATCCCATGCAAGACGGGCCTTGGAGCTCAACATTTCGGCCACCCAATTTTTGAATTGGCTCAACTGTTTCTTAGTCCGAAAAAGGTCTTCATTAAATGTATCACTCCAGCCATGTTGAAGCTCCTCCTCCAGAGATGCAAGGTGTGCTTTGCAATTCCGAATATTAGGTATTCACGTCTCCAAAAACATCCCAGTTCCATTTTTGGAGGGCTATTCAGACGGTAGTGAGTTTTTTCTGGAATATATAAAACGGAGTGCTATGTATAGAGTGAGACCACGCATGATGGACGATCTCTTGGAAGGACTAGTGATCAGTCCACATGCATTGAAAGATAAAGGCCCGTCGGCCCAATTGCCTAGGCTTTTCAAATTGGACAGACAACGGAGCATGCATCCGACAAAATTCGTTCAAGATGAGTAACCTGCAGAGAAGGAAGTAACAAATGGAAATCAGAATTCACCAAAACCCTATCAAGACGTTGCCCAAACCCTGTTTAAACCCTTTCGATTATTACACCAAGTAAACGAGTTTCCATGAAAACCAGCATCCAATAAACTCATTTGAAGGACAAAATTCTGAAAATCGACCATTCGGGCACTGTCAGCAAGGCCACCTTTTTTCTCCGAAGCATCCATTATAGTATTAAAATCACCACCCAAGAGCCAAGGTGTCGAAACAAGATTATTCATGATCATAATATGGTCCCAGAGATCTCTACGTAAGCGGTATGAACAACTGGCATAGATAAAAGTGGTGGTAAATAATGGTTGCTGAGGAATGACGACTGACATTGGGCAAAAACATTCAAGCATTGAACGTCAAGCTCCGACTTCCATAATACCCAAATAAATTTGTTAATTTTGTGACACCCCTTTTCTAATTGCACTTACTTAGTAATTTATAATATGCTAGCGGAAGACTTTGAAATATATTAATCGGGAATAGAAAATTCCGACAAAATTTTTCTTTTAGAATCAGAGGAAGAGTGTCCACATATTACCAAACAACATTCACTTAATCAACTTCACAAACTATGCATGCATGACTAGAGATTAAATCCCATTTTAGCAAAGTGAGAAAATTTTTTACAGTTTCGATCTATCAATCAAACAAATTAATAACTCTCTAACCGCTTATGAAAAACACTTGAAATTTTTACCACATGCTCTAATAAGGGCCTAGATAACCTAGTAAAAACAGTTTTTAAAACCTTGAGCCATTTGAAAGGAATAATTAAAATGGTACAACTGTACAATTTTAAAATCTAAAGCAGGGGAGTGACCTTTGAAAAATCTTTATAAATTCCCTACTATTTCAAAAATCATCAAATTCTAAACCAAAGTACATTAGTAAGTTAGGAGTTTATCCCAAGTAGAATAAATCCTTTTGAGTGACAAAAACGTCCTATTTTATTGTAAATACTACAATGACTCTGTTTCAGAGCAGGGTTGGTAAACAATTCGTAATTAATTCATGGCTTATCCAAATAACGCAAAAGACCTATCAATATGAACCTAACAGAGAGACCTATGATGATGTAAAATTTCATTCAATAATGTATAAAGGAGATAATTAACACGAATTATTACATTACTAGGCAGAACACAACACATAACTAGCTGATGGGCATTTTCTAAGGTTTTTAGAAAAACTTGACCTAAAGTTACGTTAAGTTTTTGAGGAATTATCATAACATAAATAAAAATAGGTAATCTTACTCCTATGTCACATTACACATTATGCATCAATAGTAAGTTCCTCCAATAGACGGAAGGGAACGATAATAAACACCTAAAACGGTGTCGAATGTCTTTAAGAGAAAAGTGTACAAATAAAACCACATTAGTATATTAAGAGCACCCAAAATCTACCATGCCTCCATATGAACTCTTCTCCTGACCCACGAACTCAACTTCAACCACGAACCTCGGGCTCGAAATCGGGTAATTCTACAAGCAATTCAACACCTATATGAGTCTTAGAAACTCAATGAGAATTCCATAGAATATCAAATACACTTAGACAAGGAATCATATAATCATACATATACATACATGTACAAGTATACATATACCTTAATCACCATTTCTTTAAGGAAATTTACCAATTTACCTTTACCTTCTCGGATTACCTCTTAGACCTTCTCATTTCACCTCTTAGACCTTCCTTTCATCATTTCATAAGGAATAAGAGTAGATCCCTTACAAGGGAGTCATTATTTTACACATACATTCATTCAAGTGCTCATACAACGTGTGACAAAAAAAAATTGTTCGGATATCCTTTGGAAAATCAAGCAAAACCATAGACAATAAGCCTTCATTTATTTGGAACCCATTTCATAAGTGGAATCAAACCACACACTCTTCATCTCATTTTTGGGTTACCGGTCCCTCATACCCCGTTCTTATTCGATCTATGTTTTTCAAGACTTTCCAATTTTAAAAACGTGCAAGTGAAGTTAGTACATAGTTTCATTCAATACAAGCAACTTGATTAGGCGTGTGAGAAAAACATATTCGTTCGGATATCCTTTGAAAAATCAAGTAAAACCATAGACAATAAGCCTTCATTTATTTGGAACCCGTTTCATAAGTGGAATCAAACCACACACTCTTCATCTCATTTTTGGGGTACCGGTCCCTCATACCCCGTGCTTATTCGATCTATGTTGTACAAGATTTTCCAATTTTAAAAACGGCAAGTGAAGTTAGTATATATTTTTCATTTCACATATTCAAAGTTAGCTTTCACATGCATAAGCCACATATTTCCACATATTTCACAAAGGCACATAGTTTAGTCACAAAATCACAAAAGCATGTAAGACACATAACAACTCAAGCAAAGAACATGAATCACATATTTACACATATAGCAAAACAACTCAAAGCATTCGGTTATTTATAAATACTATCTCCAAGTTTCATTAATTAAAGTTCAAGCCCTCTTTCTCAAGATACTTGAAGTTTTCTTTCAAGTAGCACCAAATTTTCATTTATTTCATTTCCTTTCCAAAATATTCAAACCATCAACAATTCAATCACACAAAATTCCATTTTTATTAATCTTATTCTCGGTTTTTATCTCAGTATATTATCTTATTACTCATAGATCATAAACCATGGATCGTAAGCTTCCTCGACCCGAAGGGAGTACACTTACAACCACGTAGGTTGATATATATACTCATAGAAACATATATTTATATATAGAACATATAGATTATAAATAAACCATATATATATATATATATATATCACGCAGGTTTACGAAAACCATGGGATCAAAAGTTTTCTTAATATATATATATATATATATATATATATATATATATATATATATATATACACACACACACACACATATTGCATAAAAATTAAATTATCATATTATTCTTAGTTCTTCAAGATTATTTCAATTAAAGCTTAGATCATTACATGCATGGATCATCTAACAATAAACAATCAAAGTACTATAACTTCCCAGATTTTCGGCCATTAAGAACCAAGAAAGAGAAAGAAGAAATAATATTGGTGAAGAATCACTTGTAGCAAGAATATGGAATTCTCACCTAGTTTCTCTTGGGAATATGAAGGAATTGGTGGATTGAATAACCCAACTTCTAATTGAAGAAACTTCTTTTTGGAAATGAGGAGCGATTTTGAGCTTCCTACACTAATAATTTCTAAATGGAGGAGAAGAAGAGAGAATGATGTTTTCTTAAGAGCTTTAAGATATGGTGGAGAAGATGAAAATTCACTTGGATGGGTTCTATTTATAAAGTTTTGCAAGCATTTGGGGGTGTTCTTGGAATTTGCTCTTTAGATGGGTTGGATTGGAGATGGTTCTATGGCTTGAGCTTGAGTAAAAATGGAGTCTTGGTGAGGGGATGGTGGTGATGGCCGAATTTAGAGAGAGGAAGAAGATAGAGAGTGGGTTTCAAATACTTAGGTGGAGAGAGAGAGTGTAAATGGGTCTTCAATTGAAATGTAAACTGAAGTACCATTCTCAATGAAGAAAGTACAAACCACTTAAGCCTTTAATTCTCCCAATTAATGAGTCTTTCTACATAAAAAAATGAGAGTGGGAAATTTTTTATTTCTAAGTTTATTCACTCATTTAATTATCTAATATGCATGAATTGATTCTTTTTTTTTCTAAAAAATTTAGTGTATGCATAT